ATAACTCTAATATTTAAAGTAAAGACCACGAGATTATTAAAAAAACAAGGAAATCGTGAAAAAGAAGAAAAACAAATCTGGATTTAACAGGTTCAAGAGGTTGAAGATAAGGATAAACTCGTAACTAACCTTTCATTTAACCTAAAACTAAAATAACTATCCAAAACGCGCTTAGAAGGGTCGAACCCACGATATCTCTGTCGTTTATGAAGCCACAACCACTAGACCACGAAGGAATAACAAAAAAAAAAAAGAATATATTTAATATGTAACTCATGAAATCACATAAAACTCTATAAAATAACTCCCCGTTTAATTTTCGATTAATTAATTCGGCGCTAGGCGCCACCTGACCGCACGCGTAGCGCCTAGCGTAGTTTCGAACATTAATCTTAATAGACACAGCTCCACTTATAGTATGCCTTCAAATAATAATGGACAAATAATAATGTGTTTATTCGATGGGCCTAATCCATCAAATAAAAACTAAAGACAAATGTTTTTCACTATATTTGTCTTCATCTATTACTTATATATATATATATATATATATATATATATATATATAGTAGCTCTCTTATGTTATGTGATTCCAATAATTCAATTAAACACCTTAAAAAATATTTTTCTGGAGAAAGGATAATGTGTTTATTTGATGAGTCTAATTATGGATGGACGGTCGGATATCCATTCAGATTTGGTCCGGGTCTATTCGGGTTTCAGGGTTTTAAGCTTAAGAATTTCAGTCATATTCGAATATTTTAAGTGTTAGTCCAGATTCAGTTTGGTTCGGATTCGTATAATCAATTTAAATTAATTTTAAAATTTTAAAATTTATTATATATTTTAAATTTCTCAAAATTTACAAAGTAAATAATGTATTCCATATAAATTTGAATAACATATGTTAAAATACCAAACAATGTTCAAAACCTTAAAAACTTGAAATATATATTGATTCTCTATCCAAATATATAATCTAAACTAATTTATATGTTAAATTTAGGTATTTCAGCACACATTGTTCAAATTATATGTAATATATTGTTTTAATTTTATAAATTTAAAACATATATGAATTTTTAAAAATAATTTAAAGGGGTTATTTGAACCCACAAAGATCCAACATAACCTGGTCCGGAATTTATAAAACCCCAAATAAAACTAAAAAATTTAACCCAACCCCCTAAACTTAAGTAGATCCGAACCAAACTCGAATGAACAGCTGAATGCTCACCCCTACTACATATGAAACATTATAAATTACTAATTAACACCAAGTAGAACATATGTTATAATACAAATAATTTTTTTTGAGTAACAGTACATATCAATTATATACTTATAAAGACAATATATTATATAGGTGTAAAATACTTATTATATGACACAAAATAACTGACAATTTGAAAACCATATAATATAATCTAGAATGATTTTAATGAAGATTTTACAAAACAATATCTGCGCACAGCGGGGATCCATATCTAGTATTTAGTTACAACAATATAAAACAGCCTAGACTACATCTCAATCGTTAATTACTTCTCTAATCATTTATATTCTATAAACGGTTCTACAGATATCAACTAATATGTATAAAGCAAAAAGTTGGACATCTTGTTTGAATCTTGTTCCCTATAAATTTTTTTGTTCATAACATATCGACAAAAAAATAAACAAATCATACATGGTCTATATTTTGTTTGCAGGTTCTTTCATTTTATATGCATTGGACTTACGATTGTCAAAGTAATATTGGCTGGAGGATGATTTTTACAAATTTGTCGACAGACCATCGATATCACATTTGTAAGTATATTTGATATATTATAATATCACACTGTGGTACTCGGGAATTTTGGTAAATAGGATTTTATTAATATTGTTTTAACTGATTATTAGTATAGTATTAAGGAAGAAAAATATAATTGTATGCGTGATTTAAGGTAGCTTTGGTTTGATTTTTTTTTCACTTCCTAAACTACCTTCCTAGATTTCATTTTTTAAAGATAAATTTGATGGCACAAAAAGTAATATTTCAAGTAAACTCAAGGGTAAATTCATAAAAGGGTTCATGTTTTAATAGTAGTGACTAGATTTTGATCTGTGCTTAGAAAGCGCGCAATGAGTTTTTGGTGAAAAATTTATATAATCACTTAAAATAGGTATAGGTATAAGATACGTAATCTGAAATTCGAGAAACAAAAAACCAAACAAACATGAGCTATACCCGTACTAAAATGTAAGAAATAACAGAAATAACAATCTTGTAGGGTGGCAAATAACATATTCCGATCCGACGTTTTATTATCCGAACCCGAACAAGTAACCCTAGAAACTTAAAAAAATTGATCTGAATCTCTAAATTAATGTCAAATATAAATATTTGAAATATACATATATATACTTCAAATATTCAAGTCTATATTTATTTTGAAATGATATCTAAAAATAAAATTTAAAATCAAATATCTAGTTATATATAAATAAGTATTTATTTCTTATGTGTTGTAAATTTTGGATTAAACTTCAAATATATCTGAATTATACCAATATAACCTGAATTCGAACGATATATCGTTATTTATACAAATTAAACCCAAATCGATGTGTTATATCCAAACCCGGTCATACTACTAAGTTACCATAATAAAACCTAGCTAGGATACGACATAAATTAGAACCAAAATTCAAAATATCTAACCCGTATCCCAGCGGATACCTGAACGCCCAAACATAACTTAAAGTGTGTTTTATGTTTTGTTCACTCAGTTTCATATTTGATAAATATTTTATATGTTTGTTGGAATAACTCGTAAAACTATACTCATAAAAATTTCAATAATAACATGTTCCACCATATTATTAAAGATTTATTTTTTTAAAAAATAATATATATATATATATATCTAATTTTATACTCTTATCTTATAAGAATCATACTATTATATATGAGTTAATAGGTACAAATAATTATTTTATATTTATAATAATCAATATAATTGATTAGTTATTTAAATTTAGTGTATCTATAAATTAATTTTTTTATTTAAAACAGTGGATTAGTCATTCAGTTCTTTAATTTTAGGCTATGATGTATATTTAATAATAATAATTAAGTTATTTTTTGCCAAATCTTTAGCTTTTGATTTAGTGGTTTATATTTTTTGGTTATTTATTTTGAAACACTCATTGCAAATCCTATAATTTGGTCGACTATATTGCATATTGGTTAATCCGTTGAGGATTCTAAGCATCTGTATTTTTATATATATAAGTTTATTGTCTTGATTAGTTTATCTGCTTAAAAATATATAAAACGAATCCAAAAATTAAAAATGATAGATATTCATGATTTTGAACAATACAACATGTATGTTTTCTGGTGCTATTGTTTGTTACCAAAATATTGATTGGAATTGATGAATGGTCGATGCACTGATATTAACATTTTGTATTGTTTTTATTTTCATTTGTAGAATTCAATGATTGAATATTTGGTGTCGATGGAACATTATTATAATATACAAAGATTTGAAAAATATACAGCCTAATAAATGAGAATCAGTGTGTTATACCAATCGAAGATTCAACGTAATGATACATTATGTTGGAATAGGAAAACATAGTTAATTTAATATAGGTTTTGTTTTTTTTCTAAAAAAAAAAAGATTTTCTGCTGTATAAATAAAAGGAAATTCAGATGAAGAGAAATCCATAAAATACAGAATTAAATAAAAACTATAGATGTTGTTTTTTAAAAGTTTTTTTTTAATTTAGCTCTGATTTGATTGTGGGAGTTGGATTTTCGATCAAAAGATAGATATAACTGTTTAGTTCTTCATAAACTCCACTTTCTTTTTTTTTTAGTTTTCGGTTTTGTTTACACAACAATGTAGAAATCAACTAAAATTTAAGTCAGTACGGTTTAGGTTTAGTTTATCAGTAGCATTTTAAGAATATCGATAATTTTAAAATAAATATTATAACTTTTATTACTTTGCTTTCTCATTTATTGTTACTTTTGTATTAAATTCCGTTAATTTGGTTTTTGTATTTTAACTATCGCTAATTGGTCTTGTAACTAAGATGGTATATTGGTGATGAACTGTAGCTTGTAAACTATAAATTTTATAATTATATAAATATTTCAGAATAAATAATATACCATATCAATGCAATTTAAATAAAGATGAGATTAGCTCAGCCATTATTTTCATTATTGTATATGGGCATTTTCTTTAAGAGTTATTCTTGGGTTCAGCTAGGTTCACCAACTAATAGGATGGTGTCATTTCATATTTGATATCTTTTTAAAAAGAAAATAAAATCTTGTTAATTTATATTATGTTTTTAAAATAAAAATACAAAAAATAAATAATAAATATTTACAGAAAACGAAAACCCTTGGGTAAATCATAAACCCTTTGAAAAAATCTTATATATTAAAAAATTATTACTAACCAATTTTACTGTTTTATTTGTTTTTATTTTTTTATTTTAAAAATGTAATATAATGTTAAAATATTTTTTTAAAGAATTTTTTTTTGTTTTTTTGTTAATATTATTATTATTATTTTCTATTTTTATTTTAAAAAATAATATAATTTAACAAGATTTTGTTTTCTTTTTTAAAAGATATAAAATATGAAATAACATCATCCTATTGGTTGTGGGTGAACCCAAGAATAAGTTCTTTTAAGTTTTTTGATCAAAAAAAAAAAAAAGTTCTTTTAAGTTTTTTTTTTTTGGTAGTGGTCCAATCCTTCCAAACATCGTAGATGCCTCAGAGGTTGGTTGTAATAGGACGGCTTTGGAACCTAACCTTCTCTGACTTAAAGTCTTCACTTCCGAAATGCCAAACTCAAATTTGCCGAAAATAGTCATCAGTATCCGCCTTTTATAGGACGACTTCTCCATTCATCTCTCTCACAGAAGTTTTGTAGTTTTAACAAAAGCAGAGCCATAACGCTTCTTATTCAAACTTCTAGTGTGGAATGTTGAGTAAGGCTGTTCAGGTGGTTACCTGCGGCCGGACAGGGCTAAATAAGGCGTTTCCTATCAAACTGCTTCTTATACTTGTATTTTTTCTAGCCTTTTCAGTTGCTTTCATCATCGTTACTGTATCCACGATAAAGTATTATGGAATCAATAGTGTGGTCACCTCAGTCACTTCTAGCTTCGTGCCATGTGGCGAGAAACAGAATGCTTTGGATAAATGGACAAAACCTCCTCTATCTCTCATGCATAATATGAGCGATGAAGAGCTTCTTTGGCTGGCCTCTTTCATGCCTCAGAGGAAAGACTATCCGTTTAATAGGGTCCCGAAAATCGCGTTTATGTTCTTGACGTTGGGTCCCTTGCCGTTTGCACCACTTTGGGAGAGGCTTCTCAAGGGCCATGAAAAGCATTACTCGGTGTACATCCATTCACAAGTTTCTTCTTTGGCCGAGTTTCCAGCTTCCTCTGTATTCTACCGTCGGCAGATACCAAGTCAGGTATAGCTTTCAATCTACTTTGCAAGATTTTGTTTTGGTTTGGTAAATGAAAAATGTTTTTATAAGTAGGATCACCCTGAGATTTTAGGAGATATAGGAAATTTAATAATAATTTTAATGAAATAAATACTAAAATTGAGGACACATTTATATGTAAATAATTTTTTAAAACTTTGGAAACCATAAGCCATTATTTCACTTGTATATATATGCCCATGACCGACCATATGTCATGGTGATTGGATTAATTTCATCATTGTACAGGTTGCAGAATGGGGAACAATGTCTATATGTGACGCAGAGAGGCGGCTTCTTGCAAATGCATTGCTAGATATCTCAAACGAATGGTTTATTCTCCTCTCCGAGTCATGCATTCCCCTCTACAACTTTACTACTATCTACGGTTACATAACCAAATCAAAGCATAGCTTTATGGGTTCATTTGATGATCCTAGTCCCTATGGCCGAGGCCGCTACAATGGCAACATGTCCCCTGAAGTATCCATAGAGGAATGGAGGAAAGGGTCTCAATGGTTTGAGGTTAACCGGGAGCTTGCAGTTTACATTGTCCAAGATACCTTGTATTACCCTAAATTCAAAGAGTTCTGTACGCCCGCATGTTACGTGGACGAGCATTATTTCCCAACAATGTTGACGATTGAGAAACCAGCGGCCTTGGCTAACCGTAGCTTGACTTGGGTAGACTGGTCGAGAGGTACTGGTGCCCACCCGGCTACATTTGGAGAGCTAGATATCAATGAGGACTTCTTTGCGAGGATCATGAAAGGGGACAACTGCACTTACAATGGAGAAAGCACATCCATGTGTTCTCTCTTTGCTAGAAAGTTTTCTCCCAGTGCTTTGGGGGCTTTGATTCAGATTGCTCCCAAGATTATGAGTTTTTGAGTAGTTATATTTTCATAATTAAATATTTAAAAATGAATTACAATAGTTGTCTCTTTTTTTTCTGAAAAAAATAACACATTGAAATTTTATCTGCTTTAGGCCTTCGATATATTTGAACCGGCCAAAAGTAGTTTCCATTTAGGTAACATATACATTATGAGTTTATATTAGAATTTTCTTCGGTTTGCGCTTGGCAGCATGTGTGATGAATATACCTCGACCAACAACCATCATACTGTAGTATCTTATGATTCACATGTCCGAAGTGCAACTTGGTCGTTCCTTGTTCTGTAAGAAAAGACATATTACTGTAATGTCATCAATCTTCTTAGATTTAAGCTTCTTCTTCCAAGCAGCTTCGGCCGCCTCTGCCACCATTTTAGCGGCCATATCTTGGCTTTTGCCGGAACTCCATATTAGTGATACAACTTCATCATTGCTAAGCATATCCCAAACCTGTGACGACAATAATAAATACAAAGGATTTTTCATTAAACTATTTGAAGTGAAAAATGTATAATAAATAAACTTTAAATCTTATGCGCTTTTACCCCGTCTGAAGCGAGTACAAGGAATCGGTCTTTAGAAGTTATTTGGTGGTGAGTAATTTCTGGAACCGCAATAACTCCATGGTCTTTGAGCCTGAAATCTCCAAAAGCTCTTGACATGGCTAATCCTGGTATGTCTTGGTTTGGTAGCCACACCCTTTGGCTGGACGGTTCTGCTTTCATTGCGTGAACGCGACCTTTGCACGCCCTAATCCTCTCTGCTTCACCTACGATGCAAGAACTCACTAAATAAGTATCATCAAACTTCTAATGATACAACCGATCTTTAGGCAAGGAGAAAGTAGCATACTAGGGACATCAGGTGTTAGGTCAGATGTTAACTGAACTGCGCAGATCTCACCATCTTCGGTCATTGTCCCCAACACTGCCCTTGAATCACCAAGGTTAGCTATCATGAGGTCATCTCCCTGAAGAAAAGAAATGAGCTCGAGCTAGTCAAATAACTAGGCTTTAGAAAGTGTGGTCAAAATCGCTATTTATACACCATTCATATGTTATGGTCTTAGTGTTGCATAAAAAGACAAAGATAAAAATAAAACTAGCAACATATATAAAACTGATGAAGAAGAACTACTACTAGCTCGTCCAATAGAGTGCTCTACTCCACTGCTACCACTCAAAACCTTTAGTAGTAGAGTAAATAAGGAGATGAATTTACCTGAGTAATAGCAACAACAGCCGTGGAGCCACTGAAAGAGCAATTAAAGACTTGGAGTAGAAGTTCTCTGTCAATGAGTCTGAACGCATTAAAACAAGCTTGCTCCCACTTACTAACTTCATCTTCTTCACAAACCTGAGGTTCTTCGTTTAGCTCCTTCTTTATTGTTAACAGGAGTAATGGTAACCTATTCCTCGCCATTTTGCTCACCAAATGCCCATTTTTGCCGTGCCCATCAAACACTGCGCATAGCTCTGCGTTTCCTGTTCCATATCCCTACAGAATTAACCAATTAGTTTATACCAGTTAATCAATTTATTCTACTTAACTCAATAAACATTTGAAACATATAAAGATAATTTAATCTAGGTTTCGATTTGTTTGTTTTCGTTCTTATTTTATGTTTAGAGTGTTTATAACTATCGGCATCTTAAACAGTTTTATTTTTTAAAAATCTAAAGGCAAGCAAACTCTTTACAAAAAAAAAAGATTTTGTTTATAGTTGATTTTTAATGAAAACTAGATTTTGACCCGCGCTTCAAAAGCGCGGGTTTTTGTTAGATTATAAACAAATCTTGATATGATTTAATATTTTAGAAAGGATGTACATTATTAGGCTACAAATCTTAAGATATAAAATAGATTTTTTGAAAAATTATGTAATTTATAAATTATTTTATTTGAGATTTTATATGTAAGTTTTTAATGTAACTCTCTCTAGGTCTTGACATTTTATCCGGATCGAAAAACACGACCAAACCGACCCGAAAATATAGATTCGGCTAGGATCCATGATAAGTACTTACTGACTATCTTTAAAGACCCGCAGGAATCGATTCTAGTATGGATCATAATCGAGACCCGATCGGGTACATAAAAGCACTCAATATTTTTTTTATTATATATGTTTGGATATTTCATATATGTTTTTGGTATGATGTATATTCTTTTAAGTTTTAGTTACAGTTTTAGGTTTCGGGTTCTAAAATATATATATACATATATATATATATATATATATATATATATTATTTTATTTTTTTGGATATTCAAATCAAATTTTTGGGTATATTTTGTTTTTCGAGTCAAATTAGGTAAAATTCAAGGTTTTCAGATATTTGAATATATTTTGAGTATTTATTTATGGTTTGAAGTATTTTTCAAATATTTTTCGGGTTTATTGGTATTTTGAGTCCTAACTATCCAAGCCTACCCGCTACATATCTGGAAATTAGAAA